AGGGGAGGAGAGAGAGACATGACCCTGAAAAAGATGAAAAGCCTACAATTTAGTTACTTAGGCAAAAGTATCTACCCCGTCTGTGTAGACACGGGGGTGCACGCTTTTTATAATTACCTCACCTTGACTCTTGAAAGAGGAAGTCCAAGGAGGTGGACTTGGACTCATTCCAGCTCATGGCACCAGCTGGGAGGCTGCAGAGAGAAGGCCCCCTGGAGTGCAGTGGCAGAGGGAGGGAGCCATACACCTCAATAACGATGCTGGAGGCCGGTGGGGGGGGGCACGGACAGGCGGCTGGTCTGGTGGAGCTCTGGCCTCCCTCCTCTGGGGTCGAGAGTCCGATCGCTCTCATAAGCAGCTCTGAACAGGGGCATGCATGCTGGCCCCTTTGCTACTGTCTCTCGGGGCCAGAATTCACCCCTACCCTGGTGGGAATGTTCCAAGGAAGGAAGGCTGCCTCAGTTTCCCTACCATACCTTAAATGGAAGAAGGAGTAGCAGGGGATCTGAGCAACTCCTTCCAGCTTCTGCTTCAACTGCACTTGTCCGAGAACCATCAACATTCCCAGTTCAGCGGGGCAGCCGAAAGCAGATGTTCTGCTTGTTCAGGTAATCGGGCAGGGGCGCCGGGGACTGAATCCATCTGACAACAGCAGATGGGCATTTCAGCTGTCCCGTGCGTTTAATCCGCTTTCTGAGGACAACGGTGAGTGATAAGGGAACTGTGCGGATGGGCAGCCTCTGCTGCTGTCTACCCCGCGGATTCCAAACAGCGGAGCCTTGAAGGAAGCAGCTCTCACTGACACATGGGGAGGGTCATGCTGTGGGTCGCCATGCCTTCTGAGGCACGCTCACTGTCAGACCTGTGATGGACAGCAGATGCTTCACACCTTGGGTATTCTGCAGGTAGGTGGGCACCTAAGCCGCCAGTATAATTCTTAATGAAAACGAGCAACAAGAATAAAAATTCTCTTACAGGGGTGGGGGCAGAGTCCAGCCGCCAAGCGGGGCAGGCCGGATGGATCCTTTCACGAGTCCGTTATTTCCCACTGCTCAGCATCTCACAGTGCACTGGAAAACTGGATCCTAAGATAAATTTCTACAGCTTACGGGGGGTTTTCAAGGATGCTCTGTGGGCTTGCCAAAGGACTCAGATTCTGCTATTAGGTAAATGGAACAAGAGGAATATATCAGAGACCCATCCAACAGGTGTTCTGTCCAGATGTGGGTATCAATGGACATCAAGAATGTCTGTCAGTTTTCTTATGTCAAAGCAGTATGAAAAAAGAAAAAGCGTTCACTGATCCATTCACACAGGGTTGATTTTGTTGACCTTACCACAGAGCTTTCTCATCTTCTCTTCTTAATTGCTTTCTACACCCATAAAAGGAGGGGGGACCAGGTGACAATGAAAACCACCATCAATACAAGCTGGCAGGCTCTCATGACACACAGTCACTCTCCAGTGAAACTTAATTATCCACCAGGCACCGGACGGAGCACAGGAAGTGAGGTCCTGACACCAGACCTCCTGCCCGCTGGCTGCACATTAGCCAATGCCCTGCAAGAACCTGCATGCAGCCGGGCAGCTTGACGTGCTTTCATGGTCTGTGGTCTCCTGCTATGACGTGCTTTCGTAGTCTGTGGTCACATTCAGAAATGCGCAGCCTGAACCACAGGTGCAGCTAGCCGTGGCCTTCACACCTGCCCCGGGAGGTTTCAAGTCCAGCGTCTGACTTTTGCCTTTTCATGATGGCTACGTGTGAGCGTGACCTGCGGGGTCACCTCAGTGTCATTTCCACTCCGGAAGCGGGGACTTCACCTGCAGACCCATCCTTGGACCCACAGCAGAGAAGACACATGTCCAACTACAGCCTGGATGGGTAACGCTGAATGACCCCTGCAGGGACTCATCCAAGCAAAGCGGAAGTGCAGGCCCACAAGGAGCCACCTACAGGGATACTGACAGAGGTTTCCTGAGAGCCTCACACCAGAGACAACCAAATGGCCGACCACGGGAGGATGAACAAACTGTGTCCATCCAACACTGCCAGCAATTCAGCACAACTCCGGGTGACTCTCACTAACACCACGCTGTGTGGAGGACAGACCGAAGAGAGTATACTGCCTGTATCTCCATTTCACAAACTTTCAGGATAAGTGAAAAACTAAACAGTCTCAGAAGTCAGGACAGTGCTGCCGTTAGCGAAGCTGGGGAATCGGAAAACAGTCTAAACCTATATTGAGATTTAGTGACCGAGTTCATGAGACTCCACATGTAAAATGGCTGTAGTGGAGCCTGAAATTCCACAGCACTTCCTCAAACAGGAGACGATCATCCCAAGGTCTCAGGCCTGGGTTCTCACCCACGGGGATGGTGCAGCCTGGACGGTGGCCTGAGAAGGTGACGCTGAGGCAGCAGGATCCAGAGCAGCCCCAGGACCTGCTCCCACTGGCCAGCAGAAGCTGTAGCAGGAAGCACTGGGGCCTGCAGATGGCGGAGCCCAGCCTGAGACCTGCATCGACCTCACGGGAAGGCTGTCGGGTTGAGCAGCCAGCAGGCCCAGCCTCACAGACCTGCATCGACCTCACGGGAAGGCTGTGGGGTTGAGCAGAGCTTTCCATTCCTCCTCGTGTGCCTCAGGCTTCTACTGAGGGCCCTTTAGCAACCTGCTCAGATAACCCCAACTCTTACTGTCCCTCTGGGGAGTCACCGGCCTGTTACAGGTGCAGGCTTGTCACTCTGTGGTCTCAACTCCACTCTGCACACACCCCTGCCTTCCCACAGGGAACCCGCCTCCGACCTAGTCAACTCCTATCACTTTTTCACATCTTCCACACCCTCCTCACAACCACAGGCACTCATTTGTCTACATCTTCGCTGTTGGACTTTCCCACTCATTCTAAGGCCAATGAGAGGGGACTGTGGCTGACAGCTCTCTGATAAATGAGGAAGCACATAGTAGGGCGGCAACTAAATTTGCGGAATGAGCAAATTCTAGATTTGCTCCCCAGCATACAAAAGTCGAGCAAACCCTTGACAACAGAGGCCTGCACTCCAGTTCCTACAGGGTCAGGGTAAATCCCCTGTAGCCTGTAGGCTCCTGTGAGTTGCAGAAGCTGGCCTGAAGCTGTCTGTCACACACTGTCACCAATTTAAGTGATAACACTAAAGAATGGATGTCCTGTCTTTTATCAAAAGTATCACGCCTGGGGCCAGAATAGGAGGAGAGAAGCCTCATGGCCTGGGCTGGGAAATGCAGCCAAAGAGTGGTGGCATTCTGTAAAACACGGACTCTTCCCAGACGCCCAACGCCAGCACGTGAAAAACGGCCCACTTGGGGACACAGGCTGAGGAGGGCTGGACATGCACTCTCACCTGGAAAGTCATCCAAGTGTCTAAGGAGGGCAAATGAGCTGTGTGCTGTGAGTCTGCACAGACCGTGGCCCAGAGCTTCAGAGCTCACAGTGAAGTAAGGGGGCAACTGGGATCTGGCCATGCTCGTCAAAGGGGGGTCAGTGCCGCCACAGGACGGCATCTCCGTGGGTGAGTGCCCTGCAGGACGGCACCACCGGCCACACGCAGTACACCTTCATGCTGTCTCAAACCTCTGACATCTGTCTATCTTCCGGCTAGAGAACGATCCTCACATCCTGCCCTGAGGTCCCACTGCAGAATGCACAGGGACAGGCCATTCAGAACCGGCCAGACAAAACCAGCGAGCAGAGCCCGACTCAGAAGCTGGAGACTCAGCACCCCACTTCCTGTCAATAGCAAGGGGGCTCACTGGGATTCTGAGCCACAGTTTCCTGCCCAAGTTAGTTAATGAAGTGAACATTCATCGCTAAAGTGGGGCCCACACTGAAAATACATGTAAATGGCAACTTTTAAGTGGCTCCTTTAATGCAAGGGCACAGGCTTTTGTCACTGAATATTTAAGCATTGGAATCTGGGGAAGATGAATGAATCTTGGTTTTGTTCCTTGAATGAACAGGTCATGGAATAGGAAAAAACAAACCTGAAAACATTTAAACCCAATAATTGCTACCTATACACAACTGTGATTTTGTTATCGTGTTAAGAGCGAGGGATGAGTATGTAAGAGTGAGGACGGGGTCGTTTTAAATTAAGTGACTTTGAAAGTTCTCAGCAGGACTCTGAACTACAAGTGCTGACCGGTGGTCCGAAACCACCAAGGGCAACCTTTGAGTACTTGGAGTGGCTTTGCCCTTGGCTTCTGTAGACACGGAAGACCTCAGTGAGAACCCTTGGGCTCAATGCTGAGGGTAGGGCTTCTAAGATAAGCAGCTAGAGTGACCCAGGGGAGGAAGTGCCTTGGTTGTCTGCCCTGATGTCCCATAGGATGCAGAAGGTACAGAGAAGCAGGGCATCTGGGCAGATGTTCCCTTTGCTGAGGCTGTGTACGACAGGTCTGCTCAGTCCACTTCTCTCCTGTTCCCCAGCAAGTAGGACAGTTCTACCCAAAGAAAGGGGTGTCTACAGAAGCAGGAGCCCACCACGGCAGAGAAGGCAGTTAGCCAGAAAGAGTAATGGAGATTACACAAAGGGAGACCAGGAAGTCACGAAATACACACGGCAAGAAGAGTGCTCGCTTCTAACAGCTGCGTCCTACTTGCCCGTGGTTCGGAGTGCACGTGGAGATTTACAGTCACTGAGGTGATCCCAACACAGCTCAACTTGAACTTGGTGCTCCCACAGGAAGGTCAGGCCTTTCCCTAGTGGAGTCTGGGGTGTGTATATTCTGGCATGCCCTTCTCGGAAGTGAAAGTCTCTAAAACTAAGCTGGTAGCTTTCGTCCACTGGACCCAGCCTTCTCAACTTCCCTATAAGCGGCATTCCCAGGCCATTTAACTAGATGCTGCAACTCTGACTGGAGAACTCAATAAAATGTCCCAGGTGCACAGTCCAGAGAGCTACCCAAGGCCATTCCAGGATGCTGTGGGCACTAACAACCCAGCCAGCCCTCGGACACCACTTACCATGTAGGAAGGGAATGTCAGCACTCGCTTGTGCTTGCCACAAGGCCACTGGGGGTCATCCAGGAGATTTGGGTCATAGTCCATAAAGTCTCCCAGGTCACTTCCTGAAGAGCACAAGCACATGGTAATTAGGGGCCCTGGACTCCTCAAGGCTGAGGCTGCTGGGATGGATATTAAAGACATTGTCTGTGCTTGGCAGTGAGGTATATCCACCCACCTACAAAAAGATTGGCCAATTCTTACCATTCTGATTTTTCCCCCATGTTAGTAAATTATGTGTTCATTTCACTGACCCAGAAGAATATAAAACTTGACACAGCATGTGAACTGTGGGGACCCTTGTAGGTCACAGGACATGGTCCTAGACCAGCCTGTTCTTTAAGCTGACAGAGAGAATTGCTAAACCCAGTGGTGCCATTCAGGGCCATGACCTGGTAAATGCTTCTAGACAGGCTGCTGTGTGTGAATCATGTCCCAACTGTGGTAGCCACCAGCAAACACAGATACAAGTGACCTTTGGAGGTGATGGGGGCAGGCTGACCCAGGGAACTTCACCTTCACTTGGAATTTCGTGTGTGGTAAGTGTGAGCATGACTTTGTAAGTTTGTGTGCAGGTGTACATGTGTGTGGAGACCAGAGGTTGATGTAAGATGCTTCGCTCAATCACTTTTCTATCATCTTTTGAGAAAGGGTCTTTCATGGAACCTGGAGTTCACCAATACTGCCAGACTAGTGGCCAGCAAAGCTCAAGGGTCTGCCTGTCTCCTTAGTGCTAGGATCACACACACACAATGCATGCCTGGCCTTTCATGTGGGTGCTCGGGATCTGAACTCAGGTCTTCGTGTTTTTGTGGTGGGCACTTTGCCAGCCATTCCTAGGCCCCTCACCTGGAATTCCTCTGTAAGAGTTTTTATCTTTGTACCTATGTATGGGCAAACATGGGTATGCAGCTCATCCTTCAAAAGCCAATCCAATTCCTAACTGTGAGCACTGCAAAGGAAATGCTCACCCAGTCCGGCACTTCAGGACCCAACTGTGCGGGAAACACAGAAGGCAGAATGCAGCCATAGAACACAGGTAAATGAGGAGCCGAGAGGCTGGGAGAGTGCTACAGCTTTGCCCCCCACTCCCCACCCCCCACCCTGCACAGGTAGGCCCTGGGGCTGGGAACTGAGCAGCTAATTAAGAGGAAGGTCTTCTGTGGTATGTGTATGAGTCTGTGTTGCCTGAGATCACACCTCAGGCCTGCACCCTCACCTCTAACCAGCACAAATGGAGATCCTATTTGCACTGTAAACTGAGGCACATCCTACTACAAGCCACCAGACCCTTCTGAGCAAAAGTTACCTGCATCAAGGCTCCCCTGGGTGCTGCTGGCCCGGCCCATGGAGAGGCTGCGGTGGCTCAGGTTCCGGAACTGGGAGAAGGAGGAGGTGGAGTCTATGGTATTCCTCCGGGTTCCGAAGGCATTTGTGGGCAATAGAAACTGGGTGTAGGACACTGTCTGAAAGGAAAGAACAAACCCAGAGCAGCGGTTACGTCCAGGGGAGGCCGGGCTTGTTTTCTGGCCAAGCTCTGTTGCTACCCTGAGACCAGGTTTGCTGTTTTAAAACATGAAATTCTGGACGCTAATGGGATTTGAAAAATGCAACTTGTAGCCCGGCCTGGCGGGCCCATCTTTAATCCCAGCATTCTCGAGGCCAAGGCAGACAGATCTGAGTTCGAAGGCAGCCTGGTCTACACAGAGAGACCCTACTTCAAAAAACAACACACACACAAAAGAAATAAAAACGCAACCTGTCTGGTATTCCTTTGTGCCAAATGTGTGCCCCTTTCATACCCCACCCTCGCCCGAACAGCCTCTGAGCTGTGTGTAGTCTAACTGATCCCATCTGGTCTGTCTACTCCCGGTAGGTGGCCAAATGTCCATGTGTCAGACAAGGCACCTTCTCAGAATGTGCTGGAAGGTTGTGTCATGCATAAGGTACATGATGGACTGCATCTTATAATCCAGGGGAGGGATCAGGAGCACACCAGGCCCCCAGAGTCTCTGGTAAGGGCCGCTGGCTCCTCTCACGCTTCCTTCCCTGAAGGTGCTGACCACGACCCTCCACTCTGCTCCACTCTTCCTCATTCCTAGGTGAACACTCACCCTTTGGGATGAAGATGGGGGAGCCTATTTCTCTTTACTTGCCCCAAGAAGCACCTTGTAGGCACCCCACATACAGCCTGAACGAGGCATCATCGTGTCTTGGACACAGAGCTGACAGATGCCCTGAGGGCGAGGACAGCTGTTTGGGAGCTTCCCACGGGAGCGCAGGCTTTTGGGGAGGTTGTATGGAGACGACCACAGGTCAGCTTGTTTCAAATTGTGCTCCTTGGACTTCAACTTAACAGCTCACTGTATTGTGGGTGAAATCTGACTGTTTAGCGGGATACCACACTGACACAGCTTAGTGGTCACCGTGCTGGGCGGAGGCACTCGGGGCTTCTTGGGATCATGAAAACTTTACTAGTGGCTGGAATACTGCTCACTGACACCTCTCGTTCACAGATACACAAACCATCACTCCATCTTGGAATGTGGATGTGTGTTTATAAGTATGTGAATATTGCACAATCAGCTGTAAACAGTGTTAGCAGAAATGCACATACCTCGGGACCTCCTGCCACGCCTGTACTGAGTTACTGGCTTGGTGGTTTCTGTCTGCACAGAACTGGAGTCAGACGATGCATCGCACCCAGGAACCTGCCCTGACCTTGCAAGTAAGTCTTAGGCTCTAGCTCTCTGCCTCTGCATCCTGGGCCTTGCACCAACGGCAAAATTTCAGACACTAGAAACCTTACCTTCCCATCAGCCCCCAGCTCCACACCATCAAGGCCAATGATCTCCTTCAGGCTCATGGCCCCTGCTGACTGTCTCCCTCCATCCAACTTCAGGTCCCTAGGAAGCACAAGCCAAGATAAAATGCTTTTGTGTGTTTCCCAAAGAACGACGCTCGCTGTATGACGGCCGGACACTGAAGAAATGACCGGGGGCGGGTGGCAGCTCCGGGCGTCACTCTCTCCTATCACTTTCACACAAGTGACATCCAAATGAACACTCAGGAGGAAGCGGACCTTGGGAGCCCCTGGCTACCACCACCCTCCACACAGCCTCTGTGTTTTCAGACACAGGGCATTTCCTGAATGCTGGGGACAGTGGGTCTCTGGGATCTGGTGCTGGCTTCTTTTTGAAGTTGCTAAGATCACCTCTCCTTGTCACTCTTCTTTACCAGATGGGACAAATCAATGACTTCAACAGCGACCAGGTATCGCTGGCAATGAAAGGTCAATGCCACAGTAGTTAGGCCGACCACCTTGACAGCGAGAGTCCTCTCCTCAAAGGAGAGCCCCGGGAGTGACATTAGCCTTCCAACACTGTGGCACAGTTTCTAAAGCCTTCCACCGTCACGCTTTTGGTTGCGATGATACCATTAGCCCATTTTACAGAGGAGGAGGAAATTGAGGCTTGTCAAGGCCACCAAGAGAGCAGATTGTGTATTGAATGTCCTTCCTAACACATAGCACCACCCTGGATATGCAGGATAGGGTCACTGTGACTACGTCCAGGTGGAATTGCCCACTGTGTCGGGGGGTGAGTCCCTCCAGAGTCACCTAGTGCCTTTCTGACTACAGTCTGGCTCCTGTGGCCGGGCACTCTGCATTAGTCAGTACAGGACGAACAAGGCGTGCAGGGTTTTCTGTGACACTCCAGGGTTCTACACTACAGCCATGTTTGGGTCCTGCCTTACAGCTTCTGTCTGACACACAGTGCTTGCTGGTGGTGTCCATGTGAGACTGACAGCATGCTCATCATGGGACCTGGGTGGAGACTCCATAACCAGAGACTGGGAATGTGGACAAGTAATGTGGAGGGGCCAACAGCAACCCAGGGGAGAGAGAGGAGAGAGCTGGGGAGTGACACAGGGAAGCGAAGGGAAAGAACTCCACTCTCGACACAGGGAAGGCAGACATCCCCGGCCCAGCCACTGCATCGATCTATGGGCATGCCAAGCATGTCCCAGCTCCTTGAACGGGGAGTCTCATCTGGAACAGTCTTCAAAATCAACATACAGACCTTCTGCACCTAGCAGTACTGCATTTTTGAAGCCATTTTCTTGAGATGGATCACCTTGCCCAAAATGACATCAAAGTCACACAGGACAAAGGCAAACAAATCTCAGAACTCTGTTTATAAGGTCCCCCCCTCCCCGTTTCCCTCCACCCTTCATCTCCCCCCATGAACATTATCAATCAGTACTTCTCCTCTCTGTCTCCCTCATGAACACTGTCAATCAGTACTTCTCTCTGTCTCCCTCATGAACACTGTCAATCAGTACTTCTCCTCTCTGTCTCCCTCATGAACACTGTCAATCAGTACTTCTC